GAAGACGTTAAAGTAAGATAGCTTGTTTTGGTTTGTCAGGTTGGCGCGCTGAAAGCCAGGTTCAGTCCGATGAGTCAATACGTTAGTCACGGAATGATAGGTACCTCGATAATGCAAAGAAGTAGGAGGGAAATTGCCAGCCACCACATGTCTGCAACGCAACGCTTTGTGGTGAGCACACGCTCCGAACATCAACAGGTGGCGTACCAAAAGATAGCTGTCTGCGGGCGTGCCTTATCAAGTAACGCCCCCAAATCTCAACTCGCGACTCGGACGGCCTGTCCCAATGTGCGTCATCGTTGATCTCATCTTCATCGTCGTCGCTCTCGTATATACCCAGAGACCTTGCTTCATAAACGTTTGTAGAACGAACGCTGTGATAGATAGATGAGATGCGAGTCTGTGCGGTGGGTTGCACACCGCACCTCATGGCGATGGGGTAGATCGCAATGTACATCATAACCACTGAGAGGACTCTATAACGCGAAGGATGAGCTTGAATTTCGCCACCTGGTGATCAAGCGATCTCACTGTACAGCGGGGTATAAGGACGACATGGGGATAGGTTGGTACCCAGCATTTCGGCAGGCCGCAGCATCTAGAACGGCGTCGATGAACTTCGTTCCAAATGGTAGATTTTCAGTGACTGGATTCCCAATATCCAAGACCAGATAACCAATCAGGTTCACGATGCTGTCGTAACGTCAGAACGCAGAGCTGGCATCACGGCGAAAAACGCACTTGAGAGCCATCATCAAGCCGAGTAGAAGCCATGTTTGCCGAGAAGGGAAGAGGTATATGGTACACCTTCGAGGGTGGTCGAGTAGGAAATGTAGGGATGCCTTCATTCTTGAGCGACCTGGTAGTTTTGTCAACAACCAGCTATCGTCAACCTTTTGTCAGCCGACACACCCTTCAGGCAGTACTACACACGTCACTCACATGAACATACGAAGACTACCAGCAATAACCACCCCATGAGATTGGACCGCCCAGTAGTGATATGCAAAACTCACAAGATCGGCTACTCCCAATAGGGTAGAGGTTAGGAAACCCATCGACATAGCATCACGTAGAGATACGCACTAGGCATGTGTTTCCGGCGAGTACGCATATGACGATGAAGATGATCATAGGATATGCTGTCTGGAATGGAACCATGTTCTGATCCACGAGTGACATCCCTACATCTCGCTATGAGTAATCAATTAGGGGCTCCTGAAAAGCGATATACCAGTGTTTGCCCAGGCCCCGACAACCTGAAACGCCGAAAACCTATATCGCGTTCAGTTCTCGAGATACAGCGCGTCGTAAAGGTGCGCCAACCAGACGGGGTTGATATCTTTATGCTGAAGAGGCGGATGGTAGTTCTCCTCCCAACGCGAAAGTGACATGTACGGTGCAGTCACAACGAAGGATATTGCCAGTAGACCGATGTAGTACTGCCGCATGAATGCATCAGTTGTCGCGACCCTAAAATCTAGTCTATACGCATACCACTGGTATGATCCACAACAAAGAACAAAGGGCGCGATACTCAACACCCCCGAGCTCCTCGATATTCTCAGCGGTGAGCCCACGGAAGGTTGAGTTCCTGTTCACGGTGGCACTAAAACTGAGGTATGGAACGCGCTTGACAGGACCCACCGAGATGGGCGCTACGTCTGCTGTTGTCTGTGGCACCAAGGTCTCCGTTCTCGGGACAGTGAGGGTGCGCTTTAGCTGATGGCGAAGGCCGGGAAAGAGCTTGCGAGATAGTGAGCCCACCACATCCTGAACACCAGGGAATCCGCCGAAATCATCCTCCTTATTGAGCTTCTTAGGAGCGGGGATAGTGGATGATCGGCGTGACCGTCGACTTGCCGTAGTGCCCATCAGGTCGACGCCGCCGACTTCGGTCGACCGCTCCTGTGAGACAGGCGCGGCGTATGTCCCCATCGGGTCGATCGGCTGGGGGGCAATGTCAAGTCGTCGGCGAATCATGTCGGCTCGAAGGCCGGCCCTGGAATGATGAGGTTGCTCCAATCGTGGGGAGTCAACGTGTGAGCTTTGCGGTATATCCGCGCCACTTCTCAAACGCGTGCTTTTCTCTTTCTCTGCTTTAGCCCTGGCCAGTATGCTGCGGATGCGCTGGAGCGTAGGATGAACCCCCACCGGATTCTGGCCTGTTGCCTGCGTCCTTTCCATCTCTGTGGAGACGATATGACGCAGGTTGCGGACAAAGTACCAGCTGTATGCCGTCTGAAAGTGTGTATGGTAGGCATACGAAGAATACGTACCGTCGTATAATAACAACAAACCAGGCGACAAAAGCCTGTCATCAGTCAACATTCCCTCGCCCTTGTCCCCCGATAGAATGCTTGCACATACCTGGTTACCAACGATCTCGAGAATGACCAGGACGACCTCTTGCCATATCGTGAGCCCGCTGAGGTCCACGGTAATGAGTCCGGTACCCGTTGCGCCGCTGACACATATATAGAGAGAATCGATAAACTTGACTGGGAATTTTCCGTTGCTGGCCCAGAGGATCGTTGCCCCGAGCAATGGGATGCAGAGGCTGTAATTCGACCGTTAGATCTGCATGTGAAGGGTGCCACTCATCTGCGATGATATGCTCACAATGCCAGAAGATGTAGTCTATAAAAGTTCAAATTAGCTCGAAGGTAGGACCAAAACGAACCCATGTGTTCTTGAAGCGTTCCCCGGATTGTCGGCCGCGGCCCTCACGTTGTTGCGAATCTCTGTCGCAGCTGAACACAATGCTCCCGGAAGTCAGAAAACTGCGGACTGCGGTGTTGCTGGTCAGTGTGGTACAGGGGAAAGCGGGGGCATCGGGATATCGATGGTAGATACGATAGCGGATGTAACAGCATCCTGCCCCCTGTAGTAGAGCGCCTTCACAAATTAAAGCCTGAGCTTGTGCACCCGAGTCCCGCCGCGCACGGCCCTTGTTTAAGCAAGCACAGGTCCGTAGACACGTGACTTACTTATAAAATGCATACACTTGGATAGCGAGGGAAAGGATAGGCTGTGGATTGGTCGAGAACGGCGAACGGCGAGCGGGCGAGAAAACAACGGAGCGGATCTTGTCAACCACAGAGGATTCCCTTATAGGCATTGATGGGGCCAATAGCCTGGGATCCTAACACATGCAAACAACCTCTCGCCAAATCCGTATCATGGCTGCCTTTTTGACTATCGTCCCGCAACCGACACGGGACATCATACTGACTAGTCTCCTGGCGGCACAGGGCAAATTATGCCAGCAGCGGAAGGCTTTCAGCTCAGCTTGAAGAGGATACTTGCTCGGTTTCTGCAGCACCGATAGGTAGCAATATACTTCCAAAACTTACAGCGCATAATACATGAGTAACTCCGTGGAGATTGCTGGCCCATGCATTCCAACACTATCCGGGTAACAACAATCGCACAGGTGCTGGTGTGCGCGATTTATAGCCTCGAGTTATAAGTGGCTAGCCGCTCCGACTAGCTGGTCCGGCATGCGTACAATTACAACTTACTTGCTACTAGAACAGCGAATGTAGGTAGCTCTACAGCGTGCACTTGAGCCAGATCGGAATAAAGGATGCCGGTAATATATACTATTTGCGCGTCGCTAGTACCTCAACTGGCCCAAATGTTCAATTCATACCGAACGTACTACGAACCTGATTGCCACTGCTAATTCGCTTCGCAGCGGTTTTTGCCATATCCTCGTGCGACCTCAACCACACTGGGGTACATCGGACTACAAAAAAAGAGAGATCTAGTGCACTGTGGTGAGCATGGCTATGCGTCCTGCAGCTGAGCGTAAAACGGGTTATCCCCGAGGTCTATTACTCTAGTTGCACGGCGCTTGTCGCAGGCGCGAAACGCGCGTTTTTTGCAGCACGCGCCCGTTTGGTAGGCTCCAGCGCAGAACGTCGATAGCTCACTCATTTCTTCGTCTTTCGCTTTGATTTTATCAGTTTCGGAATCTGCTGCTCAGCGCGCAGAGCATGGTACCTGTTTCGCGCTGATCCGTCAACTTTCAAAATCTACCTCTCCGAGACCCCCCTTCCCGGGGAGAATGAGTATAGCTTGCACACACACCTATATTTTCTGAAGAGACTTGATGTGATACACTCTAGATAGAGACATTGAGGGCATGAGGGACGCTCTGAGTAAATACGGGCGGTATTTATGGTGTTACATACCCACTGGGCGACATGGTGTAGTCGTGGCTATAATTGACGTCCCCGGTAATCCATATCCGGATCTCATTTCTTGACATTCTTTCTCTAAACAGTCTGTGTACATATCGCGAGCCCTTTGGGAGAAGAATTGGTTTGTCCGAAGGCCTGCGTACCGTAGTCTTATAGCCACGTCATCACTCGGGGTATGCTACGGTACCATCCATTCTCCCCTGGCGGTATGGTGCTCTAACTCTCTCGAACACTAAGTGCATGCTAACAGTAGTGGAATATGTCGATTTCATGAGAGCGGGCGGCCTGGGTCAACTGGTGGAGCCGTCAGTGGACCCCTGAAGAACTACCCCAGCCTTGGGGAACCTTGATAGGGTCTCTGCAGCCCCCGACGCCCCCCAAAATGTATTCATGCCCCACGCATTTTACGTTGGGTCATGCTTTACCTTATTCTGACGGAATATCTCCAGGGGCGCGGCCGCTATACTCATTCTCTCCGGGAAGGGGGGTCTCGGAGAGGTAGATTTTGAAAGTTGACGGATCAGCGCGAAACAGGTACCATGCTCTGCGCGCTGAGCAGCAGATTCCGAAACTGATAAAATCAAAGCGAAAGACGAAGAAATGAGTGAGCTATCGACGTTCTGCGCTGGAGCCTACCAAACGGGCGCGTGCTGCAAAAAACGCGCGTTTCGCGCCTGCGACAAGCGCCGTGCAACTAGCAGTAGCATCCGAGAGCGGCAACTTGAACCTCCGATTTTTCACGTCCCATTCGCTCTCCGAGCGTGTGGTCACGAGACTGAAAGGTAGGCAAAATGACGACAGTGGGATTCGAACCCACGCCCGTGAGGACTAGATAAGATAGACTCAGCCACCTGATTCTAGCGCCTTAGACCGCTCGGCCATATCGCCATACAACCATCTCCCTTGTATAAAATCACAATGTGCCTAATCCCAGCGTACACTTCAATCTTTTGTTCGAACCACAACTTCTCGCTTGAACTCCATTGCCAGCACCTGTCTGTCGAAGAGTCAACAACGTATAGACGACCTCGGAGTCACACAATATAAGCAGCTCTACCCTCATCTTTCGGGATATTCTACGCTCTCCTGGTCCCGTAGCCACTACCGGAGAAATAGGATAGGACCCCCAGGCTCGCGTTGGCAGGTCTGCTGACTCCGGTCACACTACTAGGTGCCAAGTGTCTCAGCATGCGAACTTTGTCATGGTTCGTGCCAACCTTTCACCCCTTTTCTCGACCGAACGTCCACAAGTTGTAGGCTTACGAAACCTTTTGATTTATCTTGCATCCCACTACTCAAGTGTACGACTATTCAAAGCAGTCGTTGGTGGTCAGGCTGGTCTTCTGTAATTCGTGTGAATTATCCGAAGCCCGTACTTTCCCTTCCAGCACGTGGAGTGTCAGCTGCGCAACCGATGCTGAACTACTTATAAGCCCACCACTGACTAGTACTGACCCCACGTTAATCTTATATGGGAAACATAGCCGCGTGGCGCACGAAGACCTTGCAATGCCGGCGGTTGCGGGGTCGGACAATGTCATGGCTATGACTGCATCGCTTGTGTGTACTTGCGAGCCCCATGACAGGGCCAACGGCAGCAGGCCTGGGAGGTACCCCTTCTTGTGATGCGTTTTCAAGTGGTTGACCTGCTTTTACAGGTAAAGCGCTCTTGAGGCGAGCAGCCCAAGACGTGTCATTTGGCCTCTACCAAATCACCCCGCGGCATCACCGGGGCCCGTTTGGGCGGCTTGTGAGCATGTCCACTGAGCCGAATATTCGCTGCGCAAGTTTAGCTCCCCTCGTGCCTTCTCGGCTTCGAGGACTTTCAAGGGGCGTCGTTGTATTTTTGGCAAACGGTCTGGCGATGGTCGTGCGGCTATGGATGACAATCACCGAACTACCGAATCACCCAGTTACCTCAATTCAGTTCGCCGCTTGGCGTTGCGGCCCCAGTACGTGGCAATGTGACCCGTCTTCATCTCCGTTGCACGCTGCAGCCAATCGCGTGATCCTCTTGGTTGGACGCAGGTCTGTGATATCTTATTCTTCCCATGCATACTACGGGACGAACGCGGTTGCCGTCCGAGCGGGCGACGTGATGTCAGCGCCGCACGCTGCGTCGCGAACGAACTTGAGGGGAGGAATGGTCGTGCGCGACGTACCTATAAATTTTGCCCTTGGCCAAACATCGCCGTCGAGGCTCGCCCGCCGCCGTCCCTTGCGACATGTTCGTCCGATCGCTCTGCCTTCACCTCTTCTTCGCAGGTATCGCCCTCGCCGCCCCGTTGGACCAGCGTGCGGGGCCTACGGTGCAACTGGACCAAGGCACCTTTGTCGGCACCATCGACGGGACGACCAACAAGTTCCTGGGGATCCCCTTTGCCAAAGCGCCGTAGGTTGACACGGCTGTCATGCCCGGTTTCGTGCTAAGCGGCTTCTGGCACAGCGTCGGAGACCTTCGTTTTAACCTCCCCGTCGCTGTCGATCCGTACACTGGGACCCACACTGTCACGGCGTTTGGACCTTCATGCCCGCAACAGGCAATCGACTTCGACCTTCCCTCGGAGCTGGCTGAAGATGCCGTCAACTTCATCGTGAACTCGATCTTCCAGCTAGTGTTCCCTGCCCAGGAAGATTGTGAGTCATATTTTTTGTCCATAGTGTGGTGGGTAGATTCCTGACGGGAGGCATTGTAGGTCTTTCCATCAATGTCATGGTCCCAGCCGGCACCAAGCCTAACGCAAAGTTGCCCGTAGTCGCTGTGAGTTCATCCTCTGTCTATTATATGGCGGTTACTCATATGTTCGAACGCGATTAGTGGATCTTTGGTGGTACGTAGTGCGACCGAGACTTCAGGACAGCGAAGCTATCACTAATGTCTATCATAGGCGGCTTCGAGCTTGGAAGCCCTAGCATGTAAGCTATGTCATCAATCTGCTGGCTTACCATTTTACCAACACGCAAGAGACGACAGGTACGACGGTGGTAGCATCGTGAGCAGATCCATCAAGCTAGGAGAACCGGTAATTTACGTGAGCATGAACTATCGGTGAGCACATACCCACGTCTCGAGTATATCCAGCGTTGGTCCTGAAACATTGTACGTAGTGTGTCTGGTAGGCATTAGCGCCTTGTATTCTCCTCCTTGTACTCACGTCCTCTGAAAGCCTACGGCTTCCTAGCTAGCAAGGAAGTCAAAGAAGCCGGTGTGGGCAATCTAGGTTTACAAGATCGTAAGAACCTTGCACTTGACTGATTCGAGGCATCAAGATTGACATGGTTTATCTGACATCAGAACGTCTTGCGCTCCAATGGATCCAGAAGTACATCTCTGCATTCGGAGGGGACCCAACAAAAGTCACGATGTACGTTCTCACACAGTGGAGCTGTGCCCCCGTAGTGCTCACGATCGTACATCAGCTGGGGCGAGAGTGCCGGCGCAATCTCGGTTGCTCTGCATCTCATCACCAACGGCGGCGACACACAGGGCCTCTTCCGCGGCGCATTTATGCAGTCCGGATCCCCCATCCCGGTCGGTGACATTGCGCATGGCCAGGCGGATTATGACAAGATCGTCTCCGAGACCGGGTGCTCTGGGTCAGCAGACACCCTGAGCTGCCTGCGACAGGTGCCGTTTGACACGCTCAAGAAGGCGGTTGACGCCTCCCCTGGCATCTTCGCCCCTCAGGTAAAACCTCGACGGCTCACATGGCAGGATGTGTGTGCAACGAAGCTTACGGGACCTGTAGTCTTTGCGGTTGGCCTGGCTTCCACGCGTCGACGGCACATTCTTAACAGATACCCCGCAAAACTTGGTCCAGAAGGGGAGCGTCGCCAACGTTCCATTTGTGTCAGGAGTGCGTATGCACTTCCGTGGCCTCGGTGATATTCTGACCACCCATCCATAGGACTGCGATGATGAAGGAACTTTGTTCTCGCTTTCGACACTCAATGTCACGTATGTCCATCTTCCTCTCACTAACCTCTTTGTCGTTCTCACCCTGAATGTGTCCTGTAGATCGGAGTCTGATCTGCGTTCCTACATCAAAAGCAACTACCTCCCGGAAGCGACATCGAGCGATTTGGACCAGCTATTGAAGCTCTACCCGCAAGATATCACCTCTGGTTCACCCTTCAACACCGGTATCTTCAACGCGCTCACGCCGCAGTTCAAACGTCTGGCCGCGATGCAGGGCGATCTGGTCTTCCAGGCTCCACGGCGGTTCCTGCTGCAGAACAGGGACGGAAAGCAGCCGATATGGTCGTTCTGTAAGATACCTATTCAGTCGTATTGATCCATGTCCAAGTCATTGACCCATTTTTCGCCAGTGAACAAGCGCCTGAAGGGTCTTCCTGTGTTAGGAGCGGTACGTCCCCATGCTAGACGACGTACGATTCGAGAAGCTCATCGATATACGCGTAGGCGCATGCCACAGATATCCTTAACGTCTACGCCGGAGGCGACATGGCAGACTATCTCATTAACTTCGTGAACAACCTGGACCCGAACGGGAAGTCTCTCCTCTCGTGGCCAAAGTACTCGAAGGCCTCGCCGAAGCTATTGACGTTCCAAGACGGATTGACGCCGTTGGCGGTGACCAACGATAACTTCCGAGTGGACGCGATGAACTTCATCACGCAGCTTTCGCTGGCGCACCCTCTTTGAAAAGGGGATACTCTTCCTTTCTGGATGCCTATAGCGCTAGCACGATATGGTCAGGGACGATTCGCATCGTCAATGGCGGTGGTGCGTCTTATCTGTATGTAGTATCGTCGCTCGGTGGATTGGCAATGAACGAGCATGTACACCTATGTATACATTAGGTTGATCAGATGTACCCGCGTGCGAGGATTTTGTATATCGGCAACTCCGAGTGTGGGAACCCACAACAGGTGTCTCGATCCGAAGATGAATACTCAACAGCCAATAGGCAGGGGATATGATTCAAACAGTATGGCTTACAGATACAAGCGTATGATAGCTCGATGACGGATAGGAAGGGAAAGGGAGAGCACCAACAAATAGGCGGAATGGCGAGGGGGATACTGAAATGGGAAAGGCAGAGCGTTTCTGTCCAAGCTGGTGCAATCGCGAACGGGTTTGGTTTCTTCATCTGCCTCACATCGCGCCCATGGCGATGCCCTGGAACGCGGTGCTGACTCGCGCGGGCTGTGCAGGTGTGTGTGACTGAGGAGGCGCGTTCATCTGCAGGGTCTGGCTTGCGGCGAACAACGGGTGGTTCTTCTCTTCGAGGTCGGTGTAGAGGACCGTCATCTCCTTGCGCGCCTTCTCCCACATCTCGGGGTCCCAGTACGAGTAGGTCCCCTGTTCGCCTCCGGGCACCTTCTGCGATGGTTGGGTGCCAGTCTCCTTGGTGAGCCATAGACGGAGCTCCTTGTGGTACCGCCAATTCCGGTTATACCTATGGATAAACCGCATTCGATACATTATGCGTGCGAAAATCTGAAACACACGTACAGCTCTTGTGCAGCAACTTCCTGGAGGGCGTCCCGAGGTGATGCATAGAACATGAAAAAGAGTGTCTCGTCGCTGAATGCGGCAGCCTTGAGCGGCCCTGGCGGAGGTGGCTGAACGTTATAGCACGCCGGTAAATGGAAGTCCGGCTCCACTGTATGCGCGGCTGATGAGTCCGCCCAAGGTGTAATGAACGTTGAGTATAGGCTTCTGGAACAACAAACAGTCAGATGAAAGAAACATATATCGCAAACGAGTTACGTACCCAGGGTTTTGCATATCTAGCCCCATCGTCCCCAAATCTGTGCCTATTGCGAGCAGACTTTGATCGGGGTCCGCGTTCTTGATGAGCGCCAGAAGCCCTAATAGGCCCCATCGGTCCGCAGGTGACATTAGTACCTGCTGAGCGGGC